CTACTTGTCCAGGAACAAGTAGCGGAAGGTCGTTGCCGTCCACAGGTTTGCCCGAAGCGAGCAGAGGCTTGTATGTGGACGTGGCGAGATCGCTCTGTATTGGCGACCTCGTTGGCACAGAGGTGTTGAAGACGTATGATGGCGTGGTATATGTTGGCGTGGGCAAAAGAGAGTTCGGCAAGTTCGTAGCGACCGTCATAGACAGGGAAGAGAACATGGCCGATAATGATGCCTGAGGTATCGGCGTGGTGTTGGTTTGGGTGGAGTATAGACCGATCATGGGCGGTTCACTGTTTGCGATGCCGTAACTGAAGATCGTGTAGACAGTACGCAAGAACGCGCTGCCAATTTGCCAGTCGTAGCCGGCGCCGGTAGGAGCGGTCGCTTGAGGCCATGAAAGACATAGGGCTGGGTCCGACGACGCCGGACCGATGAGGTAGTCCGACGGGAGCAGCGTGTAATTCTGCTTGTTGAAGGTGAATGTCATGGTTGCTTGCGTGTCGCATGGAACAGCCCATAATCCGGCTATGTAACGAAGTCAGTAACGAACACCACTCTTCTTATTGAGCACGTACAGTCATCAACCAGCCGAGACGTATCGATTGCCGAGAAGATTCGCGATACGTCCTGATATGGTCCGAAGATACCCTCGGTTCCGCTGCGCATCCCATCAGCGTCGCCTTCGAAAATCCATAGAATATTACTCACACATCAAGTAAAGCAATGGACTTGTTGCCCATCACATCGGGGTAGGTAGGGATGGGATTGAAGACCTGACCTCCAACAGTGATGTTCTGTAGAGGGATCGCCCACTGCAGGTAGCTTGACCGATTGGCATCTTGTTCGAGGAAGGGCTCGAATGGTACGACTTCGTTCCACCCAATCAGGCTGGCATTCTTCACATATGTAGAGTCAATGGCGCCGAGAGCAAGTGTACCCCAAGGCTCCTCTCGGGTCAAAGCGACACCGAAGACGGGATAGTCGAGTCCACCTTGTTGAGCGAGTGTCGAAAAGAACGGAGCCGCTATCCCGACCTGAGTAGCTGACCTAATCGTAGAATCACATCACCACTCACAGTTGTTATCCACTGCAGCATGGATGTTGGATAGGCGAGGAAAGCCTAGCCCGAATACGCCGCTAACATCATCAACGAATGTCAGGTTGGATGTATTCATGAGACCTAAATAGACCGAGCGCGCATGAGGATCTGCGCATCACATCGATAGAAGCCCGTCAAAACACGCACCGAGCGCCTGCTGCGGAACGACAAGAGAGTCGAGTTGGACGGTCTCTCTTGCGATGAATCCAGAGGCGCCTGGAGCACGTGTCAGAAGGGGAAGCACAGTGAGAACACGGCCAACTCACCCGTTCCATCAGCATAGTGCACCGAAAAAGCGGTGTTGTTGTCATTCACGGGGACGAACGTGGTGGTGTTGTAGTCGAGCGGATATCTGGGCAGGCCACTGCACTTTGACGACTGGCAGCCGGTGGAGAGGACCCAGAAGTCGGAGGAGCCAGAGTCGACGGCAGCGCGGAAGGTGATGTTCCCGACTTGGAGGGTGGTGTAATAAGTCCTGGTTAACTCCGTTAAGGCCGCTCTGCCGAACAAGCTCTACGATGACACCCACTGCTTGTCCGACGCCAACACCAGCGACAAGGCCGTCCTGTCGTTCTCTACGCCGTTCGAGCTGCTATTGCTGGGAGCAGTCCCGTTAATGGCGTCCGTGAGTTGTCGGTCGGCGATATGTTGTCGAATTCTCTTGTCGAGTATGGGCGGTCGCACGGCCTCTGCGGCACAGACGCCCAGCGCCAGAGCGCCCCAGACGATTGTCGACGTGGAGGGTTTCATGACTGGGCGCGCTGGGGGCGGCAGAGCATGAAAGAGTTGCAAAGGAAAGGCTTGGGAAAAGAGAGGAAGGTTGGGCGACAACCAGCGCCTAAAACGGGTGACGCTGTCGTGATCGAAGCAGCGTGTATAGCAAGGCAATATCTCGGTTGCGACGCAATATGACTTGCGCGCGCAACTTTGAACTTGGCGACGGCGCGAACCGTTGGGCTGGGTTCACTGACTCCTGCTGCGAGCACGATGCACTGGGTAGGATCTCTCAAGACGCTAGCGCACGACGTGAAGGGGCAAGTTCAAAGTGCGGCTTTGCCCAGTCGTCGCCACTTAACCTTCGGATGTTCCGAGTCGCGATCACCTGACAAACGCGCCCGGCGGTGATCAACTTTCCGCAGTCACGGATGATGGATGGATACATGGCATAATCTGGGTCATACATACGCATAATGATACATGATGTGTGCGAGTCTTTGCTTGTTCGATCTCGAGTCTACTGAGCGATCACCCCTGCCACCACGACGTACTTGCCATACTTCTTCTTGACCAACCCAAGTGGGACGACCTTCTCCGGATCAATACCCAATTCACGATGCTAAAGTTTGACAATCAGTACTGGAGGCCATAATAAATGGGTAACATGCAGGCGTACGTTGCGATAGAATCCGCGCACAAGCGCGCAAGCGCCCTCCGCGACAGTGCTCATCCGGAGACTGATGTTATCCATCAGGTTGACCTCGCGCTCAACGCGCTCCTGCCCCTCCGCCTCAAAAACGTAGGTAATGGTACCGTTCATCTTTTCAAAGCAAACGACGCTGCGATCCTTCATGTGCCTCGTCGGGTTCGTGCCGGCCATGAGACCAGGTACTTCGGTGAGAGCGGCGCCACCGTTGGGTCCGTTCGTTGGGATGATGGACGTGAACGCGTGGGCGTAGCGGATAGTGAACGCGTCCTCCGAGTTGTAGAGTGATGATGGGAGGAAGTAAGTGACGTGTGACGGAGAGGCGTCCAGCGGGTGCGCAGGGCGTAAGGTGTCCATGTCCGAGCTGGTGTGGTTGATGTTCCGGTCGGTGCTGAGAGGAACGGCGCCAGCCCGTGGCAGCTCTCCCTTCTTGAAGTGTGGCGTTCCGGCCCCAGCGCGGTTCTCATCATGCCTACTCTGGAGAGGATCAAACTCCGTCTTGAGGTGCATATGCATGATCGATTGAGGGTAGACGGGAGTGGGAGAGACGATGGCACTGGGCGAATGTATGACCGGGCTGGACGGAAGACTGGTGTAAGACCCTGCCGGAGAGTAGAACTTGTGAAGGCTCTTCAGAGACGGAGAGGCGGGATGGAATGGAGGTGGATGCGGAGGTAGACCAGCCATAGTGAGTGTTAATCTCAAGGTGTGGAGAGTGTGGAGGGTGTGTCGCGTGGGTGCTAGTGAGCGAGATGAAGTGGGAGATGAAAGTCCTCTTTATAGTCCTTAGAGCGATAATTGAAGTGGTTGTGGTTAAGGTACCCGAATGCTAACGTTGAGGGCGTATGGATGTTCGGACCGCGAAAAGAGCGCGGATCCTATTATCTCGTTAGAGGACGATCAATGCTGATTTTGGAAGCAACCACAGTATATTTCGGAAATTCAAATTCGCGGCTTATTCACGCACATGAGCACTCGATCGCGCATCTCTGGTACGTCACACAGGTTCTATCCGGATGTCATCAGAGTATGGTTGAGGCAGTTTTCAGTAGATCACTTTGGAACCGCTTAGCGCTGGAAGCAAACTTTCGGGTCGGTCAGCTCCCATTCAAGCAAACCAAGATTCGATGAGAGCCAGTACAGAATAAAGTGCATATTAGAGGCTCAAACGCTGCTCAGAACCCAATATGGGGTGGGCTTAGATATGTGCACACAATATTTCCAGAATCCGATCACGCGTGAGAGGTAGAATGTCTGAATGCAGCATCAGAATGAGCATAAGGATCGTAAGGTGGCTACATAATCATAATGATAGATGGCGAAGGTACGGCACAGGTCAAATTGCGATAGCTTAGAGCTACTGAGCGAGTCCTGCAACCACGACGTAGCCATCGCCTGGCTTCTTAGGATAGATCAAGCCCATTGGCACAACTCTGGCAGAATCGACTCCCAACTCCGCATGCTAGACAAAAGCGAAGTCTGATCAGCACCAGTACAGGATGCACTGCATAAGCGAATGTACGTACGTTCCGGTAGAACCCGCGAATCAGATCGCACGCGATACCCGCCAGCGTCTGGAGGTGATATCCGTGTCCGTGGTTGAGGTTGATCTCGCGAGTGATCGGAGCATATCCCTCGGCTTGGAAGACGTAGACGAGAGTGCCGAGCTCTCCGGCGAACACCATGGAGTCGCCGTTCTTGATACTCGACCCCGGGTACTCAGGATCGAGACCAGGGACTTCCATGCCCGATGCGTTGAAGTGCATGAAAGGCATATCGATGTGGATTGGGCGAGGCTCCCGTTTGTACAGTGGCGAGTCGAGGCGGCGCGGGGGTGCTGTGCCTTCGCGGCCGGCATGAGACGTAGAATGATGCGCGCCTTCGTGGTTGCTGGTGTGTCGAGTGTTAAGCGGCACAGCACCCTCACGGGGCAGCGCCCCAGCCTTCCAATGGGGAGTGCCCGGAACAGGGTCGCCCGAACGAGGGCCATGTTGCCGAGGCTCGTCTGCGAGAATGCGTGCGGTCTTCTTGTTCACTGGATAATGACCGCGACCAGAGTCCGCGACCATGCTGCGAGGCGGCGCAGTGAGCTGTTGAGACGCCGACGAGACATAGTCATGGTGGTGATATCCGCCCCGCGGGGCCGCGGCTGGAGGCGGGATGATGTTCGCGTGCGCGGGATAGTAAGAGGAGGGAGTAGGAACGTGCGCGCCGTGAGGATGACCGGCGTTGGGCGGCAGCGGATAGAACTTGTTCATCGCGGGAGAACCCCTGAGGGCATCGGCGGGATGGTAAGCCTTTGATCGAAGAGGCGATGGCAGTGGTCCAGCACTGTACATCGGAGAGTCATAGTAAGGATGATAAGGGACCGAAGGGGAGCGACGACCGGACATATTTTGGGAGGGAGGGGGGTATCGCGGGACGTGGTAGCACGATGCAAGCGGGAGATGAAAGGGCCCTTTATACCCTGGACGGACAATGGGCCACAACCACAACCACGAGCGCGTCCATGAGGCTTGACGGGTACCTGGAAAGTTTAACGTTTGGGGTACTTGGTTTTGGAACCCTCGGGCCGCCCGAACCATAGCGCAACCCATTGACCTTTTGCGGAGATGTCAATGCTGGATGGGATTGTGCCCAGTTGGAGCGTGAGAACTGATACTCGGATTGAATATCGCGGGACTCTGTTGTGATCCAGATACGTTCAATAACAATACCAGTACAAGTAGATATCCTACTGTCAAACTCCAGTCGGTTGTGAGGAGAGATTGGCGCCATCCGCAGGTTGATCTCCAAACTATCCAGATCAAGCGCGGGTTCGATCTACACCATGGTCAGCGTCTTCAGATTCCGTCTCAGGATACGACGAACATACGTTGCGCCACGCTGAGGATCGGGTCGTTGGCCTTCGCTAGAAAGTGTGTCTTCATCCTTTCCTGCTTGACCCCATCAACCCAAACATCCACCTTCTCGTCGTAGAACGCCACATGACCCGCAATCTGCGCACTCTCCATAGTCGGCAGCTTGTACCACCACACCAAGCCCTCCTTCTTTCCGCTTGGGAGGTTGATGTCGTAATAGTGGGCGTCTCCCTACCCCAACGGCGTTCATAACTATACATCAGGTGATAGATACGAAGCGAGATACGCACCTTGTATGGGCAGCTAGTGACCAAGGCTGCATCGGTTAGAAGATCAACCCGGACATCTTTGAGCGGGATGTAGGTCCGGATAGGCAAAGCCGTCTCGTATAGCCTCTGGCTTGACTTGGTGTTTGCGATCTCGACGCCGTCAACTTCGACGCGAATATGCTTCGAGGAAGGCAGGATTGACACGCGCTACGCCCATCTGCGTTTCAGACAGCTGATCCCAGTGAAGAACAATGATCGGCGGTGCATACCTTGTAAGGGTCCTTCGGGTGCACGTATACCCTCTGGTCTTCCTCGAACCAGGCATCGGCGGCACTGAAGATGATCTTGACATAACCCGCCAAGTCGCCCTGCTCGAATACGGTCACGGCGCCTTCGGCCTTCTTGTCGCCAACGACTAGATCATAGGTCGATTTGCCGTCGGTAGCTTGTTGGGCGTTCTTGAGGTACTCCTTTCCCACGGTGTCCTTGGGGAAGTACCAGAGCTACGGCAAACAAGTTGAGTGGCATCCGTGATGAGGCGGGTTGATTATAAGAACGTACAGGATACCAGGGATGCTCCCAGCTGTGGACATCGTCAGCATTTGTCACGGTCGCGATCAAGAGAGACGTACACGAGCTTGGGCTGAGGCGCGTCGGCGACGTACTGACCGCCGAACAACACGCGGACGCGTCTGAAGACGTCCTCAGAGTAACCGGCAGGAGGGAAAGGCGGAGGCGGGTTCGACATCGTGTGTACTTTGCTGTATCTGAGGTTGATGTGTCTGGCGAACGTTGAAAGAGAGCTTGTGAAGGCTCTTTGCATGCTACTGAGGTCCTATATATCCGGTGCAAGTTAGACGCTCATGGAGATGGTGTGCTCGAGAGATGTCAGCTATCATGCAGGTGACACTGGGTCACGTTCAGGGAGAAGATGATCAGAGCGCTTCTCGGAGTGCTTTTTGATACGTCCGCCAGCGCCTTATTCAGCACAGACTGCGAGGCTGAGCGCATCTCTCATGGCGACTTGATCGGGTTTCATGACGACGCAGGGCGCTTGCGACACCAGACATCCCATCCAATCTCGCAAGGAGCTATCATTCCATATCCTCTCACTCCTCTAATATCCAGCACTGCCTACTATCCTTGTTCTTGTTCGCAGTGACGCGGCTGGTTTCATAGCCCAGTGGCACGCACATGACGTGTGAAACCTTCGTCGACACCGTATGAGAGCGGAAGAACAGTATTGATTCATCATGGGGTACATCATTCATGGAGAGATTTCTATGAAACTTGGTCAGTATATGACGATGAGGGTGTGGTAGGTGCAGAAGTTGTGAGAGGACACCGCTAAACGCACTGCTCTACATCGCGAATGTGCTCGTTCCAACCCGGAAGACCGCGGATTGCGGAGCACGCTCAATCTCTTCTACGACTTGGCAACAGGAGAAGGAAGCGTCTGCTGAGCGATATCGAAGTCGGTTAGTGGCCGTCGACGTTAAGCGAAGTCGAAGCGAAGGACAACGTCGGCGGGACAAAGTAGTTCAACTAGAAAGCATCCCGGATCGCGATCACCTGACAAACGCGCTCTTGCCTGTTTCCGACTGGGAACGCTGCAGGAGTAAGTCACAGGCCGATCCGATGCTTATGGCCGAGTTCTCATTCGTCTCTGAGACCGCTATACCACGGGTACTGTCGATAAAGTGCAATTGTGGATCTGCGTGAGTGCGCATCGGTTCAAGTCTTGATGGTGGGAGTCTTGGACTCTGAATATGTGCGCAAACGTGTTCGACGTTCTGATCCATGACACGCTGCATAGTACAGTGCCAGTCATCTCAAGTTTATCATAGAGAGTGAACAATGATTTCTCCCCGGCCGCCATCACGATCAGTCCCCGCCAATGTCGATTCACCATAACTGATGCCAGTGATAAGTTGACTGGATTGATAAGTACCAGGGAAAAAACAAGGCACTACTGCTTAACTCCATCAACCCACACGTCCACCTTTTCATCGTAGAACGCAACGCACCAGGAGGAGTCCATCCTTTTTTAACAGTCCAACCTGAGTACTCATGCGGTTTTTAAACCGCGTGTGTTTTTAAACAGGTGCGAACCGGCGCGAGGCGCATTAAGAACAATTAAATTGCAAAATGCTTCGCGGGAATCGAACCCGCGACCTCACGCAAGGACTTCTTTTTCTCAGCCAGTGCAGCCATTACACCAAACCGGCGATACTAAGTCCCTAACTACACTGCCTATGTCGCCGTCCTGCGCACCCCCTGACCAAAAAAAAAAAGGCGCCTCGCCGCCGATTAGAAAACCAAGCCTCGACGCGGGTTAGAAAACCGAGCCTCACGCCCGTTAAACAACCGAGCCTCACGCCGGTTAGAAAACCGAGCCCCGCCGCCGGTTAGAAAACAGAGCCCCGCCGCCGGTTAGAAAACAGAGCCCCGCCGCCGGTTAG